ACAGCTATAGTCGAGGTATTAAGGCTGGTTAGTTTAGTCATTCACTCCAGCTATAGTCAAGGTATTGGGTGTCTTTCCTCCACTTGCTACAACAGTTTGGAGGGCTAGAACATTCATTTGTCATATTAACTTTGCAGTGGTGTTTATGTGTATAAACTATATACACAGACCACTGGTAGTGAGATTGACTGACAGGTCAGGAATACTAGAGGTCATTGCCAGCCAAGTGGCAGTGAGCAAAGTGAGTGGACCACCTCATCTCTCCACTTGCAAACTACACAAAACGTCCCTGCTGTCTTACAGCTGCTGGGTGGCATTGAAGCTGCAGAGCTCTTCAGAATAAATTTGGCTCAGAATGAGTCGAAAGTAAGTCCCACTGCTGCAGACGTATATGGACACTCATTGATCTCTGTTCACACACAGAGAGAGGCAGTGAAGGGTGCTGTAGGGAGACTGCTGAGCTCTGGCCAGAATGACTGCTGGATCCTAAACACTGTGTTTGCAGTGGACGAGTTTAGCTTTGTAGAGTCACTGACTGTCAGCCTCGTAGACTGGACAGCGTCGGATCTTCACTGATGTTGCGTACATTGATCATCACGCTTGCTTTGCGCATGCGCGTTTCTTACGCCGCGTGTGACCTTTGCTCTGAGGAGGAAGGAGTGATGTCGTGGAGGCCCTGGACTGCGGCCGCCAAGCGCGTGGCGAGGATGAGAGGCCACAAGAGAAAGCCCGTGGAACCTATCAAGGACTGGAAGATAGTTCGCGGTGATTTGGTAAGCAATAGGAGGAGCCTAAATTACTGGCTAGCTCACTGCACTGAGAGTGTGTTCCTAGGTGGAGGTGTTGTCAGGAACAGACAAAGGGAAGCAAGGTGCGGTGTCGGTGGTGGCAAGGAGGAAAAACTCAGTCATGGTCCAAGGAGTCAACGCTGTACGAAATACGCACTAATGTGCAGCTATGATGGAGCTTTCTCCAATGGTAGTTCCAATAGTAATGTAGTGGTCTTTGGCTTTCTCTGTAGCATTTGCGACGGCTTCCCTCGAGGGAAGAGTTTTCAGGAGGTTACATCATGGCAGAGTCTCTCATCCACGTCACTAATGTGTCACTGGTGGACCCAGAGGACAAGTAAGTGCGACTGGCTTGCTAGTAACCAGCCGAGTGGCTGGTTGAAGCATATATACAGGTTAATAGGTCTTAAGTAAGCAATTACTTCTTCGTTACTGATACTGTTGCAGACCAAAGTTTAACAATTCCCAACTTGAAAGATAATAGCTTTTGTTGGCTGTAGTCATTGCCATTTTTTTACTCATGGAGTTTATGATCAGTATGTATACTCACCGAGATTGTTCCTCAAATTTAACGCTATATATTCTCTGTGTCCAGTAAACCGTGTAAGGTGGTTTACAAGTACATGGAGGACGGGACAAAGGTCAGAGTATCCAAGAGGAGTGGCTGTGTCATCCCCAAACCTCCCCACCTCGCTGACCGCAAGGACTTCAAGTCTCGCAGTGGATACCTTGGTATAATTACTATGCAGACATTGCTGTTGAATTTCTTGCTTGTACTCTGAAGTGCTATATATTACATACTCATTCACTTTCTCTTCCAACAGAGGGTGACAAGGACACCAAGGCTGCAGGTGTAACCAAGGTGACGTATGTGCCCTCTCTGGCTACATTTGAGGAAGACATTGATGAACTCTATCCGCCAGCACCATTACTAGCATCTATAGCTACAGATAGTCCAAAATCCTCTGTACACCATGCAAACTAATACAGTGTGTTCTGCTTATTATGTCCTACCCAGATACCATGGCAACTAATATGTGTTCCGCTATGTCATATAACAATTTCGCAGATGACCAATATATTATACAACATTCCCCACTCACGTAAAGTAATTAATGTCACAGAGGAAAGAATTAGTGAAGAGTTCTCAAACCAAAGCCATTATTCACAATTAATTTGTGATAATTGATACACCGTTAAAAGAGTGTATATACAGTTCTCCAGTAAAATGTGGTCTAGTCTTTGGGTAATTTGGGATGGCAGGTGCCGAGACCGTGGCGTCCCATCTTGAAACAGGCCAGGACCACGTCCTGCCCGGCAATGGTGACATCGGTATGTCTGTCGGCAGAGCAGAAGTAGAGAATGGTGTACAGAGCCAGTTCAAACTCTGGACTGGTCCCTATGAACGAGCTCCCTATTGGCTTCACCTGTTGAATAACAGTGTGGGAAATGTGGCTAATAATATATCAGATATAATTATACATGATACAGCTCAGGGACTAAAATTGTGACCAACAGATACAGCTCAGGGACTAAAATTGTGACCAACAGATACAGCTCAGGGACCAAAATTTTGACCAACAGATGCAGCTCAGGGACCAAAATTACTGACTCTTGTCCCCACCACTATATTATACTGCTGTAGAACACATGGTAAATGAACGATACACGGCTCAATACATCATGCATCATGTGAATAAAAGTGTAAATCTACATACCTGTTCCTTCCACTTGAATTTGATAGTCAGCAAGTGAGACTCTGCTCCCTCTTCAGGCTACAATGTAACACATAGTCTTCATGAAACTGAGGGAGGGGAGAGGTTCCACAGACCTTTGTGCCGAGGATGTACCCCTGGTAGTCCACGTGGCCGGCCTTCTCCTGCAGGTAGAACTGGATCCAGTTGTGGAAACCAATCACCTCCTTCTCTCCCCTCGTCTCCCCCACAAACACGTGCTCGAAACCACTCGAGTCACACTCCTTGGTATCCCCCGTCCTCCGGTACAACTGCAGTAGGCAGACATTCAAGTGTGTGTTATATACAACGTGTATTACAGTGAATAAGGCTAGGTTCACAATATGACGCATTGCCCCATCGTGTCCTGCTGCGAAGATAGAAATGGAGTCTATCCTCGCGGCACGGCAACGCGGCACGGCGCGACGGGCCAGTGCAACATATTGTGAACCTAGCCTAAGAGACACCTTTGAAACACCGAAATTGTCCTTTATTCGGAGGTTGGTTCTGCCTTGTGTTCTGCCCCATACTAAGGTGCATTAGTATGGGGCATAGTATGGGGCATAACCAATAAGTTTCCATTATAACTCTTCTACCAGTGTATATATATAGAGTTAGCACCCACCTTGAACCATAGCTCATACAGCTTTAGTTTGAATGACTGTTCGCTGCTGGGAACTTCTCCCTTTGAGACAAGATATTGGTGGGCCTTCTTCATCACCTGTAGTGACACACGATTGATTGATCCTGTCATGCATACATACAGCAATAAAAACGTGACTACTTGTACTACATGCTTGGAAATGTTAGCTGCCCATTGATGCACTGTGGATCATGTGTATAAGTTATACAGTGGAACCCATGAATGGTGGACACGATGGGACCAGGCCTTTTGTCCTCTCTACGGAGGTTAACAATGTACAAGGATAGTAGGAAAGAGAACATTTTGGATCTCAAAAAGTGTGTCCTTTATTGAGAGGTTTTTCTATTGTGTCCTTTAATCGGAGAGTCCTTCATCAGAGGTCCTATAATTATAGACAACAACTCTTTAGGATTGCCCATTACCGTTTTTTTTGGTACGCATATTGGCTTTTCACTTGGTTTTCACATCATAACTCTCGAACGCAGTACTTTTATGAAGTTTAAAATAAAGCCAGTGTAACCCTCGCTGCGCATGCGCGCCGAAGGGTTAATAAAGTTTGGTATAAAGAAGGAGTGGGTGACCTTGGTCTCCATGCAGGAGTTGAGGAAGGCCCAGTTCTCCTGTTCCTCCTCTGGAGTCACCACCTCAGCCACTCCAGTTTCTGTCTCATAGTTGTCCAGGAGCTTGATGAACGTGCGGTAGGTCGGCCACCGCAGGACCTCCTCTTTCACCCAAGAGAACAGAGGGTCCTTCGCCTGGTCTCGACATTGGTATGTCTTGTACCTGTACACACCCAGATAGTCTCAGTCTCACATCACGATTGAAAGTACAGAATAATTTATGATGGGAAATTTTCCCTTGAATTTTAGTTGGCGGCAATGGGTTCTATATAGTACGTTTCTCTTTGGAGGGGAGCCTGCAATCAGACTGTGTGGCTCATATATACACTCTTGTTCACTACTGCTGTCACTACGTTGCAGAACAAGTGGGCCACACCATGTGGTATTTCAAAAGAATTCTCTAAGTCCACCCACCAGCAAAACTAAACAAGACCTCTGATAAAGGACTCTCCAACTAAACAAGACTAATAAAGAGACAGCACCTTTATGGCTAGCATTTTAAATACATAGTCGTAGGTTTTCGCAGCACGTGGTTAGATCACACAGTTGACTTTTGCCACATCCCGTACTTAGCTATAACCTACCTCCTTGCAGATTGATGCAGTAATGTGTTCCAGGTTTGAGTCTGTTCTCGTCTAACTCCCACAGTTCAGTGTAAATTTTACTCAGCCCTCGGTCTGCAGAGAAGCCCCTGTCGCCTTTGTTCTTGATTCCGAAACCCGCCATATCCCCGCACACCGAGCGCCGTGTCAGTCAACCCTACTGTATAATTTTGCGCATGCGCAGCAGCGGGGCCCAGCTGAGAGCAAAGCACTTTTTTGGGTTACCACTTTTTTGTGGATGCTTATAGTGCCGCGACTTCTGTTGACCAGAAGCTGCATACGCCGCCTTCACTCCACTGTACGGACTGCCATGGCTCTGCGCTTCGACGGACGAGTAGCTCTAGTCACCGGAGCTGGAGGAGGTATTTTAGTGCACGTCGGTTTACTCTCCCAAAGCCTGTAGCTAGCTAGCTGTGACCGCAAGGTAGCTGTCGTTATTTTGGACTCTGTACGCAGGGCTGGGGAAGGAGTATGCGCTGCTGCTGGCCAACAGGGGAGCCAAGGTTGTCGGTAAGTGGGCGGGGCATCTATAGTTGTCAAATCACGTGACCTGTTCCACAGTGAACGATCTGGGAGGGACTTGGACAGGGGAGGGGAAGAGTTCCAAAGCTGCTGATGAGGTCGTTTCTCTCATCAGAGCCAACGGCGGTACTGCAGTAGCCAACTATGGTGAGATATGCCCTACGGAATACAGGGGCTGAGCAACGATTTTTTCGGCGTGCGAGCCAATCCATAGAGAATAAACTGAAACACTTTGCATGATTCTTGTACAGTGCAATGTCCAGTGTCCAGCAAAAGGCAGAATTCAGATGCTCAATAATTTGTCCACGGCCAGTAATCGTCATGTCTATTATACTGAACTTCAGAGTATATAGTGTGAGTGTATTGCACCGGGAAAAGACTCATTTTCTTACACACAGATTCAGTGGAGGACGGAGACAAGGTGGTGAAGACAGCCATTGACAATTTTGGAAGAATAGGTAATCATGCACATTGTGTGCATTGTGTCTAAGAATATTGCGAGTGTTCCTTTTGTGTTCATCCACACAGATATTTTGATCAACAATGCCGGGTGAGATTAAAAGCTGTCTCATTGTCGTCCCATGCATAAAGCTTTTTTCTCAGTATTTTGAGGGACCGTAGTCTGCTCAAAATGACAGAGAAGGATTGGGGTGAGCTCCATATCAATTTGCTCAAAATAGCAGTGCTCTCTACTGCTATAGTATCCAACTGGCATACGTATATACACAGATCTGGTACACGCTGTTCATATGAGAGGGGCTTTCATGGTCACCAGAGCTGCTCTTCTGTACATGAGGAAACAGGACTACGGCAGGTTTGTTTGTATTTTGTGTTAGATGAGGGTTTATGGGTAATGTCCTTATTTTGGAGTGTGCAAGAGGTAAAGTCTAGTGATCTTTGACTTGTGATATGTGCTGTGTGCAGCACAGGGGTTTTTGTAGCACGCGTGTTGTGATCACAAGTGGCTGTTTTTTAAAATTACCAATGACCTATTATTGCAATTTAGAGTTGTGGTGACATCATCGACTTCGGGGCTCTATGGGAGCTTTGGACAGATCAACTATTCCGCAGGTTATAGTTTTCTCAGTTCATTGGACGACTGATTCTATTATTGTCTCCCGCAGCCAAGATGGGTCTCGTGGGATTCTCACACACACTGGCAATGGAGGGGGAAAAGTACAATATTCTCTCCAATGTAATAGTCCCAATTGCCTACTCAAGAATGTCTGCAACCGTCATGGCTCCTGGTGAGAGTTTGTGTGTACATGTGACTGCAGAAGAGAAAAGGTTGCACACTTTGTAACACTCAGTGTGCATTAAGGTCGACTCAAGTCCTTTATTGTTTACTTGCGTGCTTGCTTTGGTTTTATACATCACTTATGATTTATGTGAATAGAGAAATGCACCATGGTCTACTCACTTACAGTGCTGTGATATAAATTGTTACTCAGTAAATTTATAGTGATAGTGTTTAAAGATTCTGCATGTCTCAGTACATTTTTCTCAGGACAATCCTTTTTTCGTGGTAGAAAAGCCAGATTTATTTTTCACTCTTGTATTGTGATGTGTGTAGAGATGGGGGAGATTATGAAGCCAGTGTATGTAGCTCCAATTGTTGCCTACCTTTGCCACGAGGACTGCACTGACACTGGAGGAGTCTTTGAGGTAAAGTCTTTGTTTGTTGCAAACACTCTTTATCGTCCTCTATGCTGTGTTTCAGATTTTTTCTTTTACACTGTTCACATATACCTTTAGCCATACATTACACACTGAATCTTTCATCAATTTGGCCTTTTGAAATTAAAATTTTTGGAGGTGGATCATATGCTCATAAGTGCCTTCCTAAAATTCCTATGCACCAAAATATTCCCCCTTCAATACTGAGAGTGGTATGAATACAGCTTGTCATCTTTCCCTGCAGTGTGCTGGGGGCTGGGCCGGGAAAGGTAAACAGTTTCGCTGTTTGTTTGTCTCTGACAGTGGCTGTATGCATGGTTATCATCACACGATAGTTCGTTTGCAGCAATCGCAGGGAACAACCTTCAATAACCCCATCACCATCGAGCAAGGTAACCAACCTTTCACAACCAAAAGGCAACGTACACAGTGCTGTGACTTGTACGTCACGTGCAATTGTATGTCACTTTGTCTCGCTCAATAAAGTTGCATCGTGTATCGCTCAATAAAGTTGCACTTTGTCTCGCTCAATAAAGTTGCATCGTGTATCGTGGCATGTTAGCTGATTGAGAGGGTGTTTGTTGGTGTTGTTGTTTTTGCAGTGAGGGACAAATGGGACGAGGTGTGCGACTGGACAAGAGTCACTCACCACAGGACAGCTGCAGGTACATATAAATCACTAGAATGACATCTGCGGCGAGTGAATGCTATATTTAGTTTTCACACCACGTGAAATGTTAGGGTGCAGTGTCCTTCACAAAAGATACAAATCTCTAATGTATGGGCATAATATAGGACAACCTGTGTATACTAAGTACTACTGTACTTAGTGATATTATCGTTCAATTTAGTCGACCATACACATATAGGTGGGCTTGCTTTGCTAAGAAAAACTATTGGTGAGTACATGCAACAGTTCTGTGCATTTTTAGGTAATGACAGTGCCATATTCACACTAAAACCTAACTCACAGTTCAGAAGGAGTGGGCTCGCTTAATCCCTTAGCCATATGTGTATGTATGTAATGTAATGTCTTGCCAGCCATTAAGATCAGCAGACATGTGTGTACATAGTCACTCTATTGTTGACCTTACTGCATTGTATGTGATTGTGTGCATTGTCTTCAGAGGTTGGAGCAATGGTTGTAGAGAAGGTTTCCGATAAAGGTAAGTAAATTTTCTCAGCAAGCTCTAGAAATGTTATCATACTATGCAACTCTAGGAGATGAGTCAGACAGTGAAGAAGTGTCTGTTTCGTACACCTTTACCAGTAGAGACATTATTCTCTATGCTCTGGGAGGTATAATATAATCTAGACTGACTGTGTTGTACGTACATAGTCATCACTTTGTATGCAGTTGAAACCCCTCTCTAATGAAAGCTAATGGGAACACCCTCACAGGACACCTTTCTTTCCCTAAAACAACCCTTGCATGCAATTTAACCCCCTGAAAAAGCAACTCGCTAATATGGACACTTTCTTGAGATAATACAAGCGAGCTACACAGCGTGCTTAACTATGGTCTTTGCAACTTGGAGTCTGAACCTTGTCAGAGATTATAATGCTTGCTAGAGCACTTTTATATGAGCATGTGCAGTTAACTGTGTACAAACCCATTTTCAGTTGGTGCAGAGATTTCGCAGACTGACACGTCGGAGCTCAAGTTTCTGTTTGAAGGCCACGAGGATTTCTCCGCCATTCCTTCCTACGCTGTCCTCCCGGCCATGGTGTGAAAACAACACTCGATTCATCAGCTACTCACTTTGTATCATACATTGTATGATTGATTTTTTGTGTTTATGCCTACAGAACAGTGCTCTAAATGGAGTGATGGCTAGGGGAATACCTGGGGTCAAGGAATTCAGCCTCGCCAATGTATGTATGTATAATATCATACCTACATGTATATACTATACCTACATAGCACAGTTCTTACACACTTCTCCTCAAGTGTTTTATGATCACTTAGGCTCTACATGGAGAGCAGTATGTGGAGCTAAGGAAACCCTTTCCTACAGAAGGTATTCAAATGTGGATTACGGTGTAAGAAATAGGGCCAGCTAGCTATACAGCTTGTTGGCCTGTCCCTTCCTCACATTATTTGCTAAAAGTTAAGGCAAATTTCAACAGTCACCTGCATGGACACACAATAGAAGTACAGTACTTCGTTGGGCTGTCCTTCGTTGACCAATCACTTGACCTAAAAAAATTGCCCTTAGTTTTTTGTCGTACTTTTAGAAAAAAGGTAGGGGGAAGGATAGGGTAGCCAGCGATTCCGAATACCTTGACTATACCTGGTGGGTGCAGTGCAAATGTTTAGCTGTACATGTAACATTGTAATACTACATGACGTTACTGTTGGTTGGTGTATGCAGGTACTGTGACATGTGTGGGGAGACTGGTGGATGTGTTGGACAAGAAGTCTGGAGCAGTCATTATAGTCGACAGTGAGTCTGTCACACGTGTAGTATATACTAGCTACGTAGCACAGTGGGTTCACAAATGAAACCATTTTGTCTGCTATGCTTCACTACGTGTGGACAATAATGCATGTATCAACAACTTGGTAGTGAGGTAGAAAGGCAAGGCAAGGCAAACAAGCCAACTACACGAGAGCTTTTAAGGACTGTATGTGATTTGGTGGCAAGTAAAAGTTTCGTAAGTAATATTTGGGGAAAATAACACAACAAGATATTGCACTCCTCCCTCTTTCTGTGGTCAGTTGAGACTATGGACGAGGCTGGAGACCTGCTGTCCATCAACCAATTCACCACATTCATAGTCGGTGCAGGTGGCTTCGGAGGCAAACGCTCCTCACAACATGCCAAGGTTTTTAGCATGAACTCAGCTTATATGCACTGTATGTATTTACCTGTCATTTACAATCCGCTGTTTACAAACGACCATCACACGTTTACACGTAGGCCGGTTTCAACATAACCCGGCTATGCAATCTCCTTCCACGTATAGTTTGTCTTCCTGTGTTGTTCAGCCCACAGTACCGGCTCCGTCTCGAGCTCCGGACGCCTCTCTGAGGCACAAGACTCTGCCCATCCAGGCCGCCCTCTACCGCCTCAGTGGAGACTACAACCCTCTGCACATCGACGCAGACTTTGCCAAGATTGGAGGTTTGTTAGAGCGTGTGTGTAACTAGGGAGCATAATGCAAACGTTTTAAGTGGGTTACACACATTTATTTATTTATATAAGATTACTGTATTGTGACTGGACATATGCACCATCAGAGGACTGGGTTGACTTGCTTCACTCATGCACCACTATTGTAGTGTCCCAAGTCCAATACACAAGAGGCTCAAAAGTTACAGCAAGACGCACCTAAGACTAAGTATGCAAGCACAAAAGAATTTGAATATCTCGCCATACTTAACCTTATGCAGTTGTATGTGTTTACAGTATAAAGAGGACATGTGTATGAATTGCAGGTTTTTCGACTCCCATACTCCACGGGCTCTGCTCCTACGGAATTGCCACACGTCACATAATGAGGCAGTACTGCAACAACGATGCCACAATGGTCAAGGCCATCAAGGTGCTCCTTTCCTTTCACACGTCTCCTGGTATTGTGTGTATTAAGCAGTGTTCACACACCTAGTATTGTGTATTATACTTAGTGTTTTGCATGTGACCCAAAGACGTATACAATGGTGTCCACACAGACACCGCTTCTGGTCACATATTGTATATACTGTATATATGTGTGTGAATGGGAAAGTTTGAAGTCTCTAGATGCTTGGGGGTGGCTAATTGCTAAGACTCTGTTTACAACAAACTGATTACATCGTGAGAAATGTGACCCTAAAGGGTTATTAAACCCTTGGCGTGGCAACACATGCCAGGTGTAGGTGGGTGCAGAGTGCATTTTGAAATGCAGAGAAGTACGTAGTGTTATGAAGCATTTTGGGCTTTTCACTCTCCTTTTTTGGCAATAGTGCTGGACTCAATACTCCCTCTTTGTATAACTTCTGTACCTCACAAAATGGCACGTGTCAGGAACGGGATTGACAATCCGCGCACTACACTTCAAATCCCGTTCCTCCGCTTTATTATCTGAACTATGTGACCATTCACTCTTGTGTGTGAGATGAATACAAGAGCGTCCACACAGACACCTCTTCCGGTGTCACATATTGTACTGTACTGTATGTGTGTGTGTGAATGGGATAGTCTGAGTCTCTAGATGCTAAGGTTCTGTTTACTACAAACTGATTTACATCGTTAGAAATGTAGCTATGTATAAAGGGTTAAACCCTTGGCGTGGCAACACATGCCAGGTGTAGGTGGGTGCAGAGTGCATTTTGAATTGTAGAGAAGTAGCGTTATGAAGTATTTTGCAAATTGGTGACTTTTCACTCTCCTTTTTTGGCAATAGTGCTGGACTCAATACTCCCTCTTTGTATAACTTCTGTACCTCACAAAATGGCACGTGTCATTGTATGTCATGTGGTGGGTGTTTGGAATGTTGGTCCTTTCACTTTCTCCTCGCGCCTCTTATCTGATTTTCAGTATAACAAGGAAGAGGAAGAACTGTTAGTAGTTTCCACATTACACTTGCTTCACACCTACACATGGTATATATTCAACTGGAATTGTCAGTGTGTGTGGATGGTGGTGTGGTGTGGATGTGGTGTTGATGTGTATTGATGGTGGTGGCCGTGTGTCCACAGACGAGGTTCGTGAAGCCTGTTCTTCCAGGAGAGACCATACAGACTGACATGTGGAGAGAAGGCAGCCGCATTCACTTCAAGTGCAGGGTATATACGAACGTAATACCAGCAGGTTCAGATCAATCATTCACTGTGTGTATTCGTAGGGATTAATATATACTGTTTAAACCCAGTATACTTTATTTTCTTGTGAAATTGTGCATATCAGTTAATAGAGATTGAAGGCAATGTGGCAGTATAATAAGGGATAAATTTAGACTAACAAGGAACTCTTTCACTGTGCCCCCATTGTTTTGTTCTATCTTTAGTAACTTTTCTAAATTTAGCCTGCCACATTCCCTTTAATCGTCTGAATGCAGATTTTTAGGCACTGCACATATATACCGTGATGTTTTACGCGTGTTTTGCTCACCAAAAATGTGTGGAATTCATTGTCATTAGTCTATGATATATACATACAGTAGTACGCTAGAGTTTTAGCACTGGATTTCATACCCAATGTTGGCATCTGTTTTTGCTTCTGTATTATGTGCTGCAGTCAGTTGAGAGTGGCAATGTTGTACTGGATGGAGGTTACATTGACCTGGATCCTGCCAAGCTGGCCAGCATATCCACTTCCTCTGTAAGTACTACATCTACTGTTGGGAACAAACAAGAATGAGTCAGCATGTCTCATGTGGACTTTTCCCAAGGGTCAGCCTACACCAACAAGCATTTCCGGCAGCTATAACATTAGCATATTGTGTTACCCTGTCCCAAACTCTATCTCAAATGCCACGTTGCACACGCAGAGTTGATGGGTTGTTAGTGGGAATAGTACAAGCTCGTCTTGACTCTTGCTCCCCTGTACGTACTCCCAACATAATTTTGCACACACACACACACACATCCATTGCTCTAGGCACCGCCAGAGGGGGACGCAGGTCTAAAGTCTTCGTCTGTCTTTGAAGAGCTGAAGCAACACGTGGCGTCCACACCAGACATTGTGCGGAAAGTGAAGGCCGTCTTTCTCTGGAACATCACCAAGGCCGGGAAACGTGTTGCACAATGGAGTGAGTTTGTGTAAATATTTACTGTTTGTTAACACTTAACCAGCCACGGAAACGTGTCCAGAGCCTCCATAAGTCCATAACATTGGGGTTATAATGCTAGGCACTAATACTTTATACATCAATTTCTGCTTATTTAAGCAGATGCCCATGAGCTAAGCACAATGCAAGTCAAGTAGATGTGTAGTTGCCATTTTTGAAGGCATTTTCGTTTTCAACAGCCAGAGACAGCATTTGGCTCTTCGATTAACCCCCCTCTCTATATATTTTATCTCTCTCCCTCCCTCCCTCCCTCCCTCCCTTGCATGCAGCTGTGGACCTCAAGAATGCTCCAGGGGCAGTCTATTATGGAGAGCCGAGGGGAGAGAAAGCAGGTTGTACCCTCACTCTCTCTGACGACAACTTTATGGGACTAGTCAGCGGAGAACTAAAGGCCCAACAGGTTAGTTTTTAACCTTCAAAATACTTGGATACAACATACATATATACTACGTTCGCAGAGCTGCTAAGTTTAGCATGCGTAAGTGTTTTTGTCGTCCTCGGTAATTGAGTTTGCGCGCAATTTCCCATACTCTGGTACGGTAGTGTATGGTGGTAGCTAATAGATATATATATATAAATTGCCCAGATTGACGTCTGTAAAAATATTAGTCTGTACATATTTTTAAATAGTACGTAAAAATACGCTTGCCTGCGTTCACTGAAAACTCTCAAGGGAGAAAACGTTCGTTTAAAATTTATTTTAGGACTTGGGGTTTCTTTGTGGCAGGGAAATTTTGTGCAGCAAGACTATCAGCGAATGTTTCTTACTACATTAGCAAAAACTGTTCTGCCTCAGAAAGTTCCCTGCTATATATACAGTTACAGTACCTATATGCACATTGCATACACTAGGACCTAGTAAGAAATAATGTGTGTGTGATAACAACTGACGAGCAACAACTACTGTCAATCTATATATCATTTTGGTAATCACTTTTCCCTTTAGCTGTTCATGCAGGGGAAACTAAAGTTGAGTGGGAACATAATGTTGAGCCAGAAATTGCAAGGTCTATTTGAAGCTCGCTCTAAACTGTGATGGACAACCTCAGCATACTGCCACACGGCTAGCTATGGAAGAGGATACGGTGTATGATTTTCTATAACGAAAACATTGCGCAAGCGCATGGTACATCCGCCATCGCATCATCCCGCCCTCACACAAAGAGGTGTGTGGTCGTTCCTGGCTATATTAGTCGCGTCGTCGCGTCGTCAGCAGCACGGCTCAGTCGCTATGCCTCCCAACTTGCGCATTGGTCTCGTCCAGAGTGCTCCCAACCAGCCCTACTACCCAGGTAGCACCATCACTGGGAGCTTGCTGCTGGACGTGGACCAACCCGAGAGCTACAAACAGATTCTTATCCAGTTCAGCGGAAGGTCTTACGTCCACTGGACCGAGTCCCGCACGGAAGGAACCGGAGATAACCAGCGGACAGTAACGTACACCTACAGCTCTACTGAGCCGTACGTGGACCTGGTAGCGCCTCTGTGGAACAGTCAGCAGAGTCCAGATGGAAAACTCCCTCCAGGTCAGTACAACTGGCCCTTCAGCTTCAACATCCCACCAACAGCACCATCTTCCTTTGAGGGAAGCGTCGGCAACATTCGCTACTCTCTCGTGGGGAAAATCGTCACGGGGCTGCTGAAATTCAACCACTCTGTAGAGCTTCGCATTCCTGTGCAGCAGCTCGTGAAAATCACCGACCCGCGTCTGCTTCAACCAGTGCGTCAAGAAGTCCAAAAGAGGATTTGCTGTCTCTGCTGTGCTTCTGGGCCCATTGTGCTGACAGTAGCCGTCCCTAAGACTGGGTTCTGCATTGGAGAGCCGTTCCAGCTACACACTTCCCTGGAGAATGGAAGCAGCCGTAGGTTGACCATAAATGCTACCATCACACAGCGTGTCGTTTACTACGCTCAAGGACACACAAACTGGGGTGGGAAGACATTGCTGAACATAGCCAGCGATGAGATTGCACCTCATGACACTCGAAACTGGGATCCAACCATCACAATCCCGACAAACGACGTTGAAATTATTCACGAAACTTCCTGCAGAAACATCGGTGTTACCTACACGCTTCACGTCACCTGTCAAGTACCACGTGCTTTCGACCTTAGCATACCCATTCCCGTACAACTTGGCAACTGTCGAGACGATCAAACTACAGTAGCAGCCTCTCCTCCCCAACCTGGTCCACCCCAGGCTGCATATCCCCCACCTCGAGAGCCTGGTCTCATTGCTCCAAACCAACCACCAGGGGTCTACCCCGCCTCCAGCCAACGTAGCACCACCGCCATATGTTGGAGCTGCAGTTGGACCACAGGCTGGCTCTGACATTGGGTGGTCTGCTCAGCCTATGTCTGATTTCCCTCCGTCGCAACCTGGAGAGCGGCTCACAGATTTCCCAGCTCAACAGATCGAAAAAGATCTCATGTACTAGAGGAATAAACAAGAAGTTGTGTACTTTATATTAGTGTAAGTGAACTTTGTAGAAGAAAAAACATTGTTTAACCTGCGTGCAAACAAGCTCTTGCATTGCGTGATGAAAGATCATTGAAGAACAAAACTATCACAAGACCGCTGAATGATTTGCGGCGGGTCATAGAGTGCGCGCGAGTACGTAGATATAGACAGCGTGGTGTTTGCCATCATGCCGGACTTGCGCATCGCTCTCGTCCAGCAGACGGGAAGCCAGGTTTACTACTCAGGCACGACCATCGCCGGCAACGTCCTGCTGAGCGTGGACGAGCCCAAGAGCTACAAACGAATCCTGGTTCAGTTCTCTGGACGGTCCTACGTTCACTGGACGGAGAGACGCAGAGAAGGCCATGGCGGGCACGGAGGCAGCGGGCGTCGTAACAGCGGGCACCACGATAATCAGGTGACGCGCTCGTTCACCTCCTCTGAGACCTACGCCGACCTGGAAGCCACCGTGTGGGACATCCAGCAGTCGCCCGAAGGGAAACTGGGGGCAGGTCAGCACAGCTGGCCGTTTAGGTTCGACGTTCCGCCCACGACCCCGTCTTCTTTCGAGGGGAGCGTTGGCCACATTCGCTACTCCCTCAAGGCAAAGATCGTCACTGGTCTACTGAAATTCGACCACAACGTTGAAGTCCCGGTTCCTGTACAGCAGCTGGTGAAGATCTCTGACCCGCGCCTTCTTCAGCCACAGCGTCAAGAGGTTCAGAAGACTATTTGCTGTCTGTGCTGTGCTTCGGGGCCAATCGTACTGACAGTAGCTGTCCCCAAGACTGGGTTCCTTCTCGGGGAGTCGTTTCAACTAAATGCCTCTCTAGAGAACGGGAGCAGTCGCCAGTTGACAATTTCAGCCAACATCGTGGAAAATGCCACCTACTATGCCCAGGGACACCACTGTCGCAGTGGGAAGACCCTCGCTAGCGTCGGAAGCGATGAGATAGATCCCCAGACGACAAAGAATTGGGATCCAACCATCCAAATCCCAGCAACAACAGACGTAGCCATCATCCTCGAGAGCTCCTGCAGGAACATCCACGTCGTCTACTCACTCAACGTCACCTGCCAAATTCCCGGGGCAATCGATCTCTCCACTTCCTTTCCACTCGCCCTCGGGAACTGTCAAGACCAGGGTCAGAGTACAGCTGCCGCTGCGTTCCCGCCAACACTCCAGCCCGGCCCACCCCAAATGGGCTCAGCAGCTTACCCCCCGCCCGCTGGCTCCACTAACATCGGGTGGAGCTCAGAGCCCGGGTCCAGCTACCCACCGCCTAACCCAGCAAACGAGAAGACCCCTCTGATTAGGAAATAGAAATTTTCAGAGGTTGGAACTGTACATTATAGTCACCATTGTAATTGGACTCTAAGGAACACACGGCTTTTGCCAAGTATTGATACATTGTACATGCATGTAACCTATAGCCATGTGGCTAATGTATGCATCAGTGAGAGTGCAAAAATGTGCGAAGGTCATGCTCTGTGGCAACCAATGCCTGCATTTCCTGTTTGGGAAAGATACACGACAGCTGTTGTGTGCACACATAGGGAGAAAGTATGTCATCTCTTTACTAGTCCCAAATATGACACTGGATCCTGCAGTCTAAAATGGCACATGCAGGTTCACATTCTACGGCTATAAAACAACCTGACTCGATGCCATTGAGACAAACTTAGCAGCTAACTACCTATCGTTCAGCTATGTCACCAAAGTTGAGGATTCAGCTAAGCTCTAACAAGGTCTACCATCCTGGCAGCACCGTGACTGGTAGTCTACTCCTGGATGTTGATGAGGCAAAGAGCTACAAACAAATCCTGGTCCAGCTATCGGGAAGATCTTATGTTCATTGGAGAGAATCAAGTGGTCAGTCAAGTAGAAATTGCATATCTCTGGAGCCATACTTTGACAGTGTTGCTCCTCTGTGGGACAGTCGTCAGTCTCCTGATGGGAAGCTCCCACCAGGACAGTACAACTGGCCCTTTAGCTTTGTCATTCCTCCATCAGTTCCGTCCTCATTTGAAGGAAAGTTTGGCAACATTCGCTACATGTTGGTGGGCAGAATAGTGACTGGTGCGCTAAAGTACAACCATGACGTAATGGCACTGATCCCAGTACAACAGCTAGTGCAGATCACAGACCCTCGTCTCCTCCAGCCAGTACGTACAGAGGTTCAGAAGACGGTTGGCTTTCTGTTCTCCACCTCCCAGCCCATCATAATGAGTGTAGCTGTCCCCAAGACTGGGTTCTTCATTGGAGAATCGTTCCAGCTGCACATCTCACTAGAGAACGGTAGCAAGCGCCGTGTATCTTTGACTGCAACTTTGAAAGAGTACGTAACATTTGCTGCAAGTGGAAGCTCTCGCAAAATTTCGCGCTCACTCTATGCAATCAGAACCAATAGAGTAGAGCGCCAGCAAACTGAACATTTGGATAAAACAATCATGGTACCTCTAACTGACGTGGATATCGTCCACAAAAGCTCCTGCAGAAACATTAGAGTGATCTACTGTATCAAAGTCACTTGCCACATTCCTCGTGCTTTTAACCTCTCCACTACCATTCCATTGGAGCTTGCCAACTGTCGATAATAAGGCAAAAGTATGGATATACTTAACATAATAGCTTCATCACCATTAATATTTCTTTGTAACCACTCACGTTTTACACTTTGTGTTGCTGTTTTTAGTATGGTATGAAGTGCTGTTTAAGTTATATGAGATTACCATTTGCATATGAATTATAACGAGTTTTTAAATTTCCGGGCACCTCACAATGGTATAGCCAAGGCTAGGCTGCGGTGCAACGCCGATGTGCAGCGACTGCGCATGCGCCTTACGATAGCAGCGCACGGGCGTGCCCGTATTCGCGCGTAGGAGTTTCTTCGTAGTGGACAGTTATTTTCTCGCTAGTTACTGACCGACACTGGCTTCAGGGAGGCCGCGAGTGAATGGCTACTGGTAAGCATGTCTTTCTCCTTCAGATTTATCCTTAGTAGCTGTCTTGCGCCACAGACATTGTGGATAAGACGCTGAATGATGACGACGTACCAGAAATTGTTCGAGAAATATTTGATGTGCGAAACGACTCCGAAACATTGGGACGTCTATTGAAACTATCGAAAGCCACTGTCGATTCTATACTACTGCAGTACAGTAAACCAAAAGATCGGCTCTTTCGCGTCATTGATGAGTTTATAAAGCGTGATGAGCCAGCGCCAACATGGGGTGCCATCGTGTGTGCTCTAAGAGATCCACTTATTGGGCTACCTAACTTGGCAAAGAAGATTGAAAATAAATATTGCCCTGTTTCCCCAGCAGAGCCTGGTAAGTGACATCTGACCCTAGAAAGGAAGTTACGATAGTCTGTAATCATAGTAAACGCTTCAGATACCACACTCCATAGTTGGCTAGAGTTACTCTAGCCTGCTGCATGGTATAACTACAAACTTTCTAGGTCAGTTTAAAATCTTAAACGGGCCTGGTAGGAAGTGCTTTATGTCTGGTGAGAAGCTACAGTGGCTCACGTTTGACACAGGGCGGCACATAGAAGTGTTTTCTCAGGTGTATGGTTGAGTTTTTTTGCACAATCAGTTTCAGATGCTGAAGTTCTCCCTACCACCTCAGTAGCTACTATTCCAAATTCCACGTCAATTCCTCCAGTCCCTCATTCCCTAACCGAGCAAAGTTCCAGTAAGTCCTTTACTGTACAACAAACCATTAATAGTACCACATCGAGTATACAAACCTCACACTAATGGTAGATGACTACAGAGTTAGATGCCAACTTAGTGTACCGTGTCAGCAATGTAAGGGCAGGAAGTTACAATAATACTGTGTAGTAAAGAAACCACATGAGAGTTGTACGCCCACTGCATAGTTTCTACACTTCAAGCAGCATTGTGTGCATCCCGTTTTGTTTAGTGGCACAATTCTGCTTGACCCCCTATTAGAATATCATTATGCTTCTGGTATATATTTTTATGCATCAATTAGAATATAATCTTGCTGAAGTGAAACGCAATATCAGGAAAATGGAGAAGATGTTTAAGGAGTTAAAAAAGAGAGTTATCCGTCTACTACAAGAGATGTCTATTAGTGCCGATGATGTTGTATATGAACTAACTGAACTTCCCGCGTCTGACGTACCTGAACACGAATCCTTGTTCAAGGAACATTTACCAGAGCTGCAGAAATATAAGGAGAACAGGCCATTGTTCTCTTACCTTAACTGCTACTGGAACTACCTCTCCCCTCAACTACTGTATCACTTGGTTGGTGAGTTTCTGAATGGTACAAATGCCGAAGACGAAATGCAATTGTACGACAAAAGCCTTATCGAGTTCAGGGTTCGGACACTTTTGAAACTGTTCTGTGAGACAGAGCAGGAGCATGTTGAATCACCAGAAGGGTTCTCAAAAATCGTGGTAAAGTTTGAGAGGGACATTTCGAAAGACCCAACATTGCAGAATGTCGAGGAATTCAGACTGAAGTATGCAAAACGCCACAAGCTGCGCAACTTTGCCCTGATGCTGAACACTAAAGTGGCATTCGGGTCTTTTATTGTCACCTTTTTAGTACCAAACTCTGTTGTTGAGAGATTAAAAAAGGATGTTCCTAATGAACTGTTTGGGGAGTTTGATATTACAATTTTCGAAATTGCTGAAACTCTGGTGTTCTGCAACATCATATCTCTAATCCAGTATCCTGCACATTCTGAAGAGACTACTGAGACTGCTGCTATTTCCCAATCCTCAGAGACAGCTGCAGTCCCCCATTCCGCGGCGACTATGGCTCTCCCACAATCTATGGAGACCACTACTGTCCTTCATCCCCCAGAGACCACTGATTCCTCAAGCATCACTACGGTCCCGCATTCTTCAGAGACCACTGTGGTCCCAGATTCCTCAAGCATCACTACGGTCCTGCATTCCTCAGAGACCACTGTGGTCCCAGATTCCTCAGGGATCACTACGGTCCCCCTTTCCTCAGAGACCACTGTGGTCCTAGATTCCTCAGGGATCACTACGGTCCCGCATTCGTCAAAGACCACCGTAGTCCCAAATACCTCTGAGACCACAACTCTCTTCCATTCTGCGGAGACCACTGCGGTCCCCTATTCTCCGGAGACCACTGTGGTCCCCCATTCTATGGAGACTACTGCGGTCGCTCCTTCCATGGAGACCACTCCAGTCCCCCATTCTAAGGAGAACACTCCGGTCCCCCGTTCTAAGGAGACCACTGTGGTCCCTCATTCCATGGAGACTACTGCGGTCGCTCCTTCCATGGAGACCACTCCAGTCCCCCATTCTAAGGAGAACACTCCGGTCCCCCGTTCTAAGGAGACCACTGTGGTCCCTCATTCCATGGAGACTACTGCGGTCGCTCCTTCCATGGAGACCACTCCAGTCCCCCATTCTAAGGAGAACACTCCAGTCCCCCGTTCTAAGGAGACCACTGTGGTCCCCCATTCTATGGAGACTACTGCGGTCGCTCCTTCCATGGAGACCACTCCAGTCCCCCATTCTAAGGAGACAACTGTGGTCCCTCATTCCATGGAGACCACTGCCGTCTCCGAGACCATTACGGTCCCCCATTCCTCGGAGACCATTACGGTTCCACATTCCACGGAGGTCCAGCATTCCAGGACTACAACTCTCTCCCATTCTGCGGAGACCACTGCGGCCCCCCATTCTGCTGAGACCACTGCGATCCCCCATTCAATGGAGACCACTGCAGTCCCCCATTCCAAGGAGACCACTGTTGTGACATCTTTATCCCCACCCAGTGATGGTATGAGCACGTACTTAACGAACTACAGGTAAACAAAGTTCATGGTAGGCTCTCTTTATCATTATTTAGGGATGCTCACTACTGATTCAGCCCAGAGTGATGCCATCAGAGCAAAGACTCTTGCTACAGCAGCCAGTGAGTCTTGTGCCAGCAAAATATAATTATAGACCATGCAAAATGCACTGCCCTTGTTTTCTTTGCTCTTTAGCTCCGTCTGTCAAACCCCAAATGATCCAGTTAAAGCAAAGATTCAAAGAACTTAAGAAAGCAACACAGCAGTGTCTTGAGAAACGCGATATTTCAGTTGAGAGAATCACAAATACTCTAAAGTTATTGTCAGCGGATAATGATGACAACAAACACAAATATTTCGCAGACAGCCACATTAGTGTTTTTGAACAAGCTCACAACCATTCTGCTCTCATTGGACAATTAGACTTCAACATGGACTACCTCTCCTACCATTTGCTGGACTATCTGGTCGAAGAGTTTGGTCTGGAGGAGGTGAAAGTCTTGATGGAGGCGTACAAGTTGGATATACAGGAGTTCAGGGCGAAAACACCAGTAACTCTGTTCTGTCAGTTGCAGCAAGGAGAACGAGTCAAAATCTCACAAGAATTTAAGAAGGTGGTAGTTGAATTTAAGCAGCAAAGAGATATGAAATTAAACGTCTTGGAACAGTTTCAGAAGAAGTACACAGCCCACTACCACCTAAAAGACCTAGCCCTAATATTAGCTGGGATACATCTTGGGGCTTCCGTCATTACCGTAACCTGGTTTTTCCCTCGATCTTTAGCCACAAAATTAAAGGCAAACGTACCAAGAGTCATGCTGAAAACAAAGTCTATCTCAAAGTTGAGAGTATCTGGAAAGTGTGTCTATCGTAGTGGTGCAACGCAAGATTACCTATTCATCGAGAAGCCATCTGAAGATTACTTCTGTCCCGTAACAACTGGTCTCCTGCTCGATCCTCACCTCACATCATGCTGTGGAAAATATCTCTCGCAGGAAGCTGCCATCAGGATACAGAGGGGGGGAGGAGTATGTCCACTGTGCAAGAGTGCCGAATGGAGCACTGTGCTAAATAAGGAAGTGCAGCGTCAAGTAAAGTCCCTCCGTGTCTTCTGTCATCATGAAGACAGAGGATGCAGGTGGCAGGGGGAGCTGCGTAACTTTGAGAAACATGTTAATTCTTGTCTAATGAGAGATGCTCCACAGATGACAGAGCTACTGCAACCAACCAGGTACGATCCAGTAGCCTTGTTCCGAAGCTAGCTACCTTCCGTCTGAGTAACGAGTATATGTGCGGGACCGACCTAACCAGTTACAGTCTAAGCATTAATAATTGGTCATGACCAATAGTTTCTCTTCTCTTGCTACTGCCATTTGGGAGTGAGCACAAGCCTGCATCTTTAATGTTTGTCTTACATTCTCAGATGACTAATCAAAATGCATGCTCAGCTGGAGGACACCAATAAAATAATTTAACCTTAGCTAACTCCTGCTTACCATTATCATGGTCTCTGTGTCTACAGGTCCACACTGCCTCACGCGATGTGTTGTTGGCAAGACATTCTAGAAATATTGGTCCCCCTCCACCAACTGGTGGATCGCCCCACACTGTGTCGTTGTTGGCAAGGGGTTCTAGAAATATTGGTCCCCCTCCACCAACTGGTGGATCGCCCCACACTGTGTCGTTGTTGGCAAGGGGTTCTAGAAATATTGGTCCCCCTCCACCAACTGGTGGATCGCCCCACACTGTGTCGACGTCGGCAAGACATATTGGTCCCCCTCCACCAACTGGTGGATCGCCCCACACTGTGTCGTTGTCAGCAACACATTCTAGAAACATTGGTCCCCCTCCACCACCATATATTTCCTCTTCACCGTCATTAGAACAAATATTAAGCAGGATTTCTGTTCCACAGCTCTTAGGAGAGATTTACATGCCTACAGTTGTTCCCCACCCACATTTAATGACTTTTGGCAGGAAGCCTCCATTCACTCCAGGATATCAACCCGAGAATTATCCAGGGCCAGTTTTACCACCTACACAAACGGAGTTAGATTACAGGAGTTCCCCACCAGCTACAGACCCATTCCCCAAGTGTGATACTAGCCTTCCCTATAAGGATGTGGTATATTTACAGGCCCAGGAATCTTCTGAAAAGACTTCCACCACACATCCTTCAAAGAAGGTAAAGCAGTAATATATAATTATAGCTACGTCATATGTTCAGTTCTTTTCTATATCTCCTTAGCTTACTGTGAAGTGCCAGTACAAGGGAAGAGCTCCAGCCAACATGCTGAGAGGGTCTGCAACAAGTGATGATCAATTTGTGTATTGTGTATTAGCCAACTCTACGTCAGTCTACCGATATGAACTGAGTGCAAGGAAATTCGAGGAACTTGCGTCGTGTCCGTACCGTAATGCTGGACTTGCAATCATCAACGGTGAACTGACTGCTGTAGGAGGAATGGATGGAACCAATCGTATAAATAAACTCTTTACACTACGACAAGGGGAATGGGTTACAGAATACCCTCCCATGAACATTGCACGTTCAATGGCTAGTGTGGTTGCCACACCAAATGGTGACTGCCTCTTTGTAATTGGAGGAAGTGCTAGATATTCGGTCACACCAGTGGAACTATTTCACCTGAAGAGCAGAAAATGGGAAATTCTGCCAGACTTGCCGCGGTCTCTTTCATACCAATCTGCCACAATAACTGGTGATCTCTTACACGTGATAGGAGGTGATAATGGATACTCGTGTTACTACAAGCCACTAATAACCAATGAAACACCAGTTCCATCCAGTCGTCCAACCTTTATCTGGAAGCGTCTCCCTCATCTACCAGTGACAGACTCTATGGCAGCTACCCTCTGTGGAGAGGTAGTGATTGTTGGTGGGAGGAAACACGGGTTGCTGCAGAACTCCGTCTACCAGCTAATGGACGGGGAATGGGTGAAGATTGGCGGCATGAACAGCTGCAGGAACAGGTGTTTAGTAGCCAATTCATCACCAGAGAAGTTATTAATAATTGGTGGTGTAGGAGCACAAGACACTCTTGAAGAATGCAGTGTAACAGAGAATCCCATTCATTGAAACTTAATTATATCCCACTTATTGAAAGTGTGATAATTTTTGCCATGTGAAGTACCACAAGTGCTGAACCGCCATACATACATATTGTTATTGCAAATGCCCGTGTGCAGTCAATTGTATCGACTTTGGCGTTGAGTAGTCAAAGTGCAGATGCATGAGAGTTCAAAATAGCAACCAGCATAATTCACAGCTGGATATTTATGCACTACGATAAGGTTGTGGTCCAGTGGTCTACAATGTGTGCACATGAAGGTATTAGACATGCATGGTGTTAAAGCGTGTGTGTACAAGTTTCAACTGCATGCATATATGTACTCTGGACATGGGCTCTTACGAAATATTATACATTCCTGTGTAACTATGATTGTAGGTGAACTAAACTACACTTCTGTTTGTGAAGTATTTTCAATGAATATGAGCTCTGTCGTATTATGGCTTTTGGGGGAATACTTGGGCATAGTCTTAGAAGTGTATAGTCACGACCAGCCTCTTTGGAGGGACATGGTTGAGTCCCACTGACTGATAGCGACAGGAACTGCTGCCCCTGCGAATGGAGTCGGCACCCCTCCAGACACACGATGAGACAATGGAGGGTGTCCTACTAGTTGACCAGGGGCACTCGGTGGTGGAGGGAGGCTAGCTCTTTGGTACTGCATACTGGCACTCTGTGGTGGAGAGGGATAGTGTTGTGGCTGGAATGAGACATTGGCAGGGACGATGGGGGCATTCGGTTGAGGAGGGGCTGTAGGGAGATTGGGTGGAGCAGTAGGGGCAACATGAGGTGGGGGTAATGGGTACCCCTCATGCAGTTGGGGGTTTGTTGGAGGAGGTGCTTGCCGGTTGGGTGGTTGCCAGTTACTGATCTTGAGTGGGAAGACAGTGAAGAGGTTGTCTGTACGAGGGATCTTGCAGCTTATGATGAGCGAGTGACTGACTTTGATGCTATCGCAGGACCCTTCGTCCACTACGTCCACTGAGGGTATTTCGATGGTCGGATCCCAGTCACATGTTGCTCGCGGTTCGGCATCAGTATTGGCTACTGTGGCTATCGTCTTCCCGTCCCACTTGTGCTTTCCTTGACCTGCAGCAAACTTGACGTCTTGTTTTATCGACGCGCTGACGGCAATCCGAAGGCTACTACCGTTTTCGAGCGAGACCTGTAACTTGAACGAGTCTCCGATGTAGAAGCTCGTCCTGGGTACGACCGCTCTTAGAACGATGGGCTGCGAAGCGCAGCACAAACCCTCCACCCATCCGCTTCGTAACGGTTTGATGTTGCGGCCGCAGTAGCGCTGGGTCGGTGTAGACCACGAGCTGCTGCACCGGAACGCGTGCCTCCACTACGTGGCTGGACTTGTTGGAGCCGGTTACAATCCTCCCTTCCAGCGTGTAGCGAATGCTGCCGAAGCTCCCCTCGAACGAAGACGGGGCCGTCTGCGGAATGACGAAACTGAACGGCCAGCTGTGCTGACCAGGCGTGAGTTTTCCTCCCGGGAAATCTTGGCTGTTCCATAGCGTAGTTGCCAGGTCGACGTACGCTTCTGCTGAGATGTTGTCCTTGTCCTTGTCTGCACTTTCGTGTTTCGTCGGCTCGTCAAAGAAGTGGAACACTTGCCAGTGAACTGGATTGTGATACGTTTGTAGCTCTTGGGTTTGTTGACGTCGAGTAGTAGGTTACCCGTCACGGTGTTACCAGAGTAGTGCACCTGGTTAGGGCTCTCTTGCACCAGTGAGATACGCAGCTTCGACATATTCAGAGAAGAAGAAGCGAACCGAATACTACCGATCACCGAATGGCAATGCTGCGGCGCGCTCGATCGCAACTTGCAACGCGCTGGGTAATTCCTGCGCATGCGTGCGCGAACGCGCGCGCGGGGACCATGGAATTTTAGAGAAAGGAGGCCGAGGGTTATAAAGGGACTCTACGTACAAAAGCTAGGACTGTGGTAACGAAGACAAGTAGTACTCTGCACGACAAAGGCATTCTGCTGTACTGCACTGGTTTCCAGAAGCTATAGTTGTTCTGCATGACCTTTTCTGAGATTCTGTATGTAGCTATGTAGCTCGCTAGCTACATGCGATAAGCATATTATATTCCAGTCTATGGTATTTGTTGTTTGTTGTATAGCTAGATTCAGTCTTGCTGATAGCTATGCATGCAACTCAGCTACATCTGCTCCCCAGTTAGGTTTCCCATAGTGTAGCTAATTATGCACATTGTAGTACACATAATATGCTACAGTAATTCTCTATTGAGTAAAATGTTGTCATCTATAACCGCCCCTTGCTCTTTAGGTCAAGAGAGAATAAATAACTACTATGAAATATGAACAGATAAATATAATAAGAGTGAAAAACAGCGGTAGCTAATGATATTGCAACAACGAATAATATTGGGGCAACGTCTCCTATACCAGGAGAATTGGGTACATTATACAGAAGAAGTATATACAGATCGAGGAGCAACGGGTGGAGATTATGGAGTGAGTGGTGGACAGAAAGGTTGGAGAGATGTCAGTCTGTTAGCTGTGAACCCAAGGGAGGTGAGTATTCTGCAAATGGAAGGGGTGGAGGTGGGGGAGCAGGAGGAGGAGACTGGGGAGCAATAGGTGGAGATTGGGGGACAGGAGGTGGAGGGAGAGGTTGGAAGATGGGGGGTGGGTAGCTGCAGGTTGCTGGGGATGGTTCAGACTGGACTGTAGGACCAGTTTCTTCCTCGTCTTGACAATTGCAAGGTTGCAGGCGAATGCAGACTGTGTTTTTGTCGTACCTAATCGGCCATCTATAGTCGACACACAGAGTGTAGCACACTTTGATATCATATACTTTAGGAGTTATGGCGATGTGCATGTCTGTTGTTGTCGGGATTGCGAAGCTAGGATCCCAACTCCTACTTTTCTGGGTTCTATCCAATCACTTTTTTTCTCGAGTATGGTCATCCTTTCGCACTGCACTCTCTTTGTCTCTTAGCATGGTAGTTTACCGTTTTTTCAAGCAATGCAGTCATTTGAATGCAACGGCTGTGCGTTCCATTCTCAAGAGAGGCATGTAGTTGGAAAGACTCTCCAAGGTAGAACCCAGTTTTGGGGACAGTTACAGTCATTGAGACGGGGTCAGAGCGGGAAGTACAGCACAGATAACGGACTCTCTCTTCATCTTCAAACACATGTTGATGTACTGGTTGAAGCCAACGTGGATTGTCTGTGATCTTCACGAGCTCCTGCACACGAATGCGTTGCTCCACTTTATTCTCCATTTCAGTGTTGGAGAGCATAGTATTTCCCACCTCGAGAGAGTAGCGTATGTTGCCACAGCTTCCCTCGAAGGAAGATGGTGCTGTTGGCGGGATGTTGAAGCTGAACGGCCAGTTGTACTGACCTGGAGGGAGTTTCCCATCTGGACTCTGCTGACTGTTCCACAGAGGAGCTACCAGGTCCACGTAGGTCTTAGAAGAGATGTGATCATCTATGTACTCAGTCTCATCCTCTACTAAGTCACCACGAACACGCAAACTGTACATGTTGTAGTTAGGTGGACGTATGAGCTACCAAGTAACTTCACAATGATCTGGTTGTAGCTCTTGGGCTCATTCACGTCCACCAGCAGCCTCCCAGTGATGGTGTCACCAGGATGGTAGAGTCGGTTTGTTGATGTGAGAATGATGCGAAACATAATGGGGAAATACTACGATATACGGATACGCAGTACTCTCTTGTCAATTTATAGAGTAAGCCACACAAGCTCCCAGGACTCATCATTCATACCTGTGTAGCTAACCATGACTATATGTTATCTCTGAGGTATTTTCAATGAATGTGACGAATGAATGTAAACTCTGTCATACCTCTCCAACATACCTGTACCTTACTGCTCATGGGGGAGAGCCTGGGGACGAGGTTGGGTGTCCAGTATGCACTTATGGCAGAACAATGCCACGCATTACTATACTGATGGTTCAAAGGTCACATGCTCTCACAGCACATTAGCAAAATGAAATTTTAAACAGCCACATATAGTTGAGGGTATATATACCCTGCATGTGGAAATTAGGCTCCAAACTCTGCACTCAACTGTGGCTGGATGCCAAAGCTAGTTCACCTCCGAGCCAAAGCTTTATGCCAGACAGGAAATAATAATTATGTCCCAAACTATAAACTCCTGTACTCTACAATTTGGCTGGATGACCCCAAAGGTATAGTTCACCAATAAGCCATAGCATACAGCTATAAATAAAACGAAACCGTGCTCTATGAGAAAACATCCGTTGATTTACAAGTCTAGCTCTTTACCTTCATAAGAAAATGGTATGTCAAGAATGCTTTGAAAATGAATAGCTAATGAGGTTCATTTTGGGGTAAGACACCTACACGCAGGTCTCTTAGCGATAAGATACCTGCGGTTAGGTGGCTTACTTCTAACTCTGAGACCCTCCCGTTTACAGTACGGCGTCCAGAAGCGACGATCACGAGCTGAGACTGCTCAGACCTTGCCCTGACTCGAACAGTTGCGATGCTGCTAATAACAGTGATTCTCAATCATCGTCGACGAAGTCTTCGACAGTGCCCAGTGTGGAATCGGGAGGCCTCTCCCCTGCCGGGCTATCGTCGAAAAGTTGAGACGCCGCCGCTAATAGTCAGTACTTACCAGCATTGCTGCCCCTTGTGGGAGGCTGGAATGACGCAATAGTAACCGAGGCGGAGCCGAGGTTTCTATTGCGTCATTCAGCCGACCACTCAACTGTGGCTGGATGCCAAAGCTAGTTCACCTCCGAAGTACAGGAGTTTATAGTTTGGGACATAATTATTATTTCCTGTCTGGCATAAAGCTTTGGCTCGGAGGTGAACTAGCTTTGGCATCCAGCCACAGTTGAGTGCAGAGTTTGGAGCCTAATTTCCACATGCAGGGTATATATACCCTCAACTATATGTGGCTGTTTAAAATTTCATTTTGCTAATGTGCTTGGGGTCATCCAGCGAGCTTTAGGACACTCGAATTTGCCGTCTTACCTATACTAATGGCACCGAAGTTTTGGATTCAACTTGCCTCTAACCAAACCTACTGCCCTGGCACTGCTGTTACTGGCAGCCTACTGCTGGATGTTGATAAACCAAAGAGCTACAAACAAATCCTGGTCCAGCTATCGGGAAGATCTTTTGTTCATTTGAGAGTATCATCAACTGGTCTGACAGGTGGATATCACACATCTCTGGAGCCATACTTTGACAGTGTTGCTCCTCTGTGGGACAATCGTCAGTCTCCTGATGGGAAGCTCCCACCAGGACAGTACAACTGGCCCTTTAGCCTTGTCATTCCTCCATCAGTTCCGTCCTCATTTGAAGGAAACGTTTGGCAACATTCGCTACATGTTGGTGGGCAGAATAGTGACTGGTGCGCTAAAGCACAATCATGATGTAATGGCACTGATCCCAGTACAACAGCTAGTGCAGATCACAGACCCTCGTCTCCTCCAGCCAGTACGTACAGAGGTTCAGAAGACAGTCGGCTGGCTGTTCTCCACCTCCCAGCCCATCATAATGAGTGTAGCTGTCCCCAAGACTGGGTTCTTCATTGGAGACTCGTTCCAGCTACACATCTCACTAGAGAACGGTAGCAAGCGGCCGATTACTCTGACTGTGTGCTTGAAAGAATATATCGTGTACCATGCACGTGGAACCTACCGCAGGATTTCGAGGTCGCTTTACAGATTGAGAAGTGATAAAGTGGAGCACCAAGAGACTAAGATTTTGGATGAAGCCATCACAATACCAACAAATGACACCACTATCCTCATCAACAGCTCATGTGGGAACATTAAAGTGACTCACCGGCTCAAAATTACTTGCCACATTCCTCGTGCTTTTGATCTCGTAACCTCTATTCCAATAGAACTTTGCAACTGCCTATGAGAAGACAATTTGACTAAATTTTGTTTGTAAATTTTGTGTATTCTGTCATGATTCACTAACTTGCACCAAAGAAAATAAAAATACACTCTAGCTATGGGGTACATATAAAGACACACTTTGAGTCGTGAGATTGCATAAGATGGAAGTGGGGGGAGTAATGTCTATTGAGTAGACAGCTCTCGGACTCGTCATACATAATCATACATACCTGTGTAGCTAACCATGGGACTAAGCTAAATTACACCTCCATTCAGAAAGCATTTTCGTAAACACTCATAATTATTACCTGGATGGAAAACCAAGTTGAGTTCCTGGCACTACTGCGACACTACAGCTACATGTTTTAGACCTACAACTATGGGTATTTACCTGTCTTACAGGAAGCATCAGTATAGACAGAAAACTGGAAGTCCACACACGGCTATTTTTAGCAGAACTGTCATAATGACGTAACAAGCTATATACACCTACACATGGTAGACACTCCTAAACACATCCTGTTAGCTAAGTCCACACACGACTATTTTTAGCAGAACTGTCATAATGACGTAACAAGCTATATACACCTACACATGGTAGACACTCCTAAACACATCCTGTTAGCTAAGTCCACACACGACTATTTTTAGCATAACTGTCATAATGACGTAACAAGCTATATACACCTGCACATCCTGTATGCCAGCTAGCTGTTAGCTAAGCCAAAATACACACACATCCTGTAAGCTAAGCCAACATCCTGTTAGCTAATATACACGGGATGTAGCAATGTGGCTTATAAGAGGCTCCAGACTCTTGAGAACAACTTAAAGTGAAATATTATGCCAAAGTGGCAGATTAAAATCTCCAAGGACAATCCTAAAGAAGCATTCTATCCTGGGGAGACCTTGAAGGGCAACCTCCTGGTGGACCTTGACACACCAAAGAGGTACACAAAAATCTCTGTGCAGTTCAATGGGAGATCTCACGTTGAGTGGTCAGTGAAGAGAGGCAAAAGAACTGTCAAGCTCACGTCTACTGATCTTTACATCAATGAGGTAGTGGATGTATGGAACAGTGAGCAGAATGAAGAGGGGCAACTTTTGGAAGGGGAGCAGAGCTGGCCTTTCAGTTTCAAGATACCACCAAGAGCAGCGTCTTATTTTGAGGACGCCCTATATGGCAACATTCGCTACTCTCTTGTGGGGAAAGTAAGCAACGGAAATAGCACTGGTACAGTGGCTGAAATTCAGATAGCTGTTCTACAGCTGGCAGAGATAACCGATCCACGTCTGTTTCAGCCAGTACGTCAGGAGATTCAGAGACGAGTTTGCTGTCTGTGCTGTGCTTCAGGGCCCATTGTCCTGACTGTAGCTCTCCCAAAGATTGGGTTCCTTCTTGGAGAGTCGATTCAGCTGCACGCCTCACTCGAAAATGGGAGCAACCGTCGGCTGACCATGATTGCCAAGTTGAAGCAGAAAGTCACCTTTCATGCCGGTGGAGGTACACGTGAGAGGTGGAAGACGTTTGTCAAGGTACCGAGCGGAGTGGTGGGGCGCCGGGCAACTGAAGATTGGGAACCCACGATTGAAATACCAACAGCGAATGTTGCTATCATCCACGGGAGCACCTGCAATAACATCAAGGTCGTTCACTATGTCAAGGTCACCTGTCGAATTCCTCTCACGTTCAACATCTCGGTCGTGATTCCACTCCAGCTCGGCAATTGCCTACAGGAGAGAGACTAACACAAAGCTAACTCTTTTATACACAGTTGCATGTACAAGTAGTTGTATGGATGCTTTATGAACTTTGATATATTTCAAACTTGTGTGACATGCTCTGTATTCAGTCATTTATTCATTGCTCTACGGTCGAGCACACTTCTAGTAGGATCTCATCTGATCATATTACAGCATCGAACCACCCCGAATCCAGCTAGCTAGCTAGGGATACAATTTTTGTGCGCATGCGCGGGTATATGCGCGTGTATATGCGTTTTAACTCGTTTTTCACTGTCGTATCGCGCGTGCCGAAGAAGAAAGGCAAAGTGGAGATAGCTGCACCACGCAGACAGATCAACGTGTCATGGCGCACTACAAAGATGGCGGAGGGAGGGACAGCAGAAAGAGAGCCCGCGACGATTTTGACGGTAAGGAATCACCCAACATTGTGTACCGGTATTATTCCAGTCCGTCCTTCCCTCTTCACAATCAGACGCCCCTCGCCACAAGAGAGGTCGATACTTCGACCAAGGCTCCTCTGAGAGCGAGTCAACTGAGCAGAAGCTCGAATCACTCATCACGAGAGTCGGAGAAAAGGTTTGGACAGCACTCACTCCCCGTACTCTATGTTCCTTGTCGTAAAGTTTGACTGGACTCTTTTCTGCTTAACTCTGCCGTCCTGTTGGGAATAGTCATATAGAAATGATGAAAAGTAGTCCTCCACTTGAAGTGTCTGCTGGTAAGACAGACACAACTTTCTCATGTAACCCTGCGTGAGTAGCGCGGTCACGTGTACTGTTGGCTGAGCCCATTGCTCTGGGTGTGTGGTCTGTGGCCCCAGTGCTAGGTTGTGAGTGTTGCTGTGTTGCCTGCTCTCAGGGTAGTAAGACACTGCAGAGCAACCTCCAGGCACTGGCTGATGTCCTACACACTGAGATTGGCTCCAGCTCCTCCGTGAAGGACAAAGTCCTGAGGACAATATGCTTCTGGTGTGTTCGATTCATACATATGTTCCTAGATAAGTGTAGGGTTGATGCATGAAGGGTGTCACTGTATATGAGATAATACAGAAATAGGCAAGGAACATAAACACTGTATCTAGCACACTATATAGCTGAAGGTCTTAAAGAACACTGCAGTCCCCATGCAAACATAAAACGCACATGCACGTTATGATTGTGTGCAGTGTGACGACACTGACAGAGAAGATCACCATCTACTCCACTCTGGTTGCCATCCTCAATGCCAGGCAGTACAACTTTGGAGAGGAGGTTAGTGACATGGTATATAATAGTGGGAGGGATAAAAAACGGATTTTGTGCTTGCGATCTTTTCACAAAGATTATCTCTACGAACCTTTTTTTTAGGAGAACAATAAGCAAACCGCATAGAGTTTCGCATAGTGTTTCTTCACGAAATTCTTGTTCACGTTTCATAACTATTGGTATATGCACCTATTTCATCGGGACGGTCTACAAGTGAGCTGCAAGCTACTGAACATGACTAACTGAAAGTCACTAAATCACTGACACAAACAGAGTTGATTTTTCCGCCTCGTTCGTAGTTACTGGAGGTTCTGATGGAAGACCTGAGGAATGCTCTGGCACTGCAGGAGATGGAGAAGGCTAGAATTCTGGTGAGCTGAATGTCAACTAACACCAAGTACACCTGTGTTCAATACGTTGATATATAGATTTTCTGTGTGTGTCTGTGCATCATGTACAGCTTTGTTCCAGCTGTCCATACGTTTGCTGAAGTTATGATGTACTGGACCTGACCATGTTGTTACGATAATGTGTGTATAGTTTATTGAAAAATGGTGTGCTAGCTGTCTATTAAAAAGTGTTTGCCTTTAAGTTGTGATGTTGAGCATGTTGCTATGTTATGCTTATGAAGGTTCGTTTCCTGGCTGATCTGGTGAACGCTAAAGTGGTGGCGTCGTCGTCTATTATGACACTTTTTGACACCTTCATCACCGTGACCTACGAACCTGACATACCCCATGTGAGCCCCTCATTCACCTCTCTCTCTCTCTCTCTCTCTCTCTCTCTGTTAGGAATAGACTATGTATACCATATGTAGGGTAGATACCATATTCCGCCACTGTACATCACCCCAAAGTGTATAATTCCATTTGAAGCACTAAGGATTTCTAGTGGTTTTGAGATTTAACATGTATATATATATACTGTATGGTGTCCGTTGTGATGTGTTCTATATAATATGGTGATCTGCACACACAGACTCGCTCTGACTGGTACGTCTACATGATCCTCTCTGCCCTTCCCTGGGTGAGCTCCATGCATGCATATGCTATTGCTAGTACAGTAAGTACAGTAACAAATGCAGCCCATTGTAGGCGAGCAAACCTTCCCCTCTATCTCGCTCCAAACTTTATCCCTTCCAACATTCTCCCTAGTTTTACAATACAGGTATATACATACATAGTGCATTGAGAATAGGTTGGTATGGTCTCTGGTGGCAAATTTCTTCGCAACATTTTGTACATACGATGCAATTGTATAGGTTGGAAGTGAAGTGAACCAGAGGAAGAAGGTGGAGTTGGAAAGGCTCTTTACTATACTGGAGACCTACATGAGGTACATACATACATACACTGCATACAGTATACACACCTCCCAGTTCACTTTTTATTATGTACGTATCGCCCTTTACTTCTCCTTTTTGAGGCACATTTTGCAGTTTTCACAGTTATAGATCTCGTTTAAAAGTTTTTCTCTGTCAAAAATACATTGCTTATTAATTGCCCTACTGCCCAAGTCCTTATCCAAGGAAGTTAAACTTCAAAACTAAATATGCAGGCACTTTGTAAAATGCTTTTTGTAGTAAGTCTGCGAAAATATTAAGCACTTCGATAAGTTGTTGCTCGTGTGTTAATGTGTACAGTAAGAGGTCGACTGCCTACCTGCCAGCCATTCAAGTATGGACGACGGATCAACCTCACCCCCAGAAAGATGTTAGTTTCTCGCTGCTCCACACTCACTACTCACTTCACTCTCACACTACGTATTCAAAGATACACAAGTAAAGAAGGTTTTCATGTCAGGTTTTTCTTCTATGGGGGAGATGAGGACAAGAGGGCACTTCTGAAAAAATAGTTTGGGGGCCTTAATCACAAGAAAAACAACTTGCCCCCATTTTAATTTCACCTTTGCCCAATTGTTGGGAAAAATGGTCCTAGCTTTATTTCTTACTGTATCACCATATCCCAAGAAAATACAAACATTTGCACTTATATACATGGAATTTTTTTAAAGTGCAATATCCAAACGCATAATAGTAGGAGTAATTAATTATACATAGGAATTCTGTACTACAACGAATGCAATGCGATTTTTTGGAGTTACTGGCTCGTGTAGCTAGAATGAGAAATGTCAGTTATGTGCCTTTGTGTATTTATAATCACATGGGGCATTACGGTATGAAACGTACATACACATAATTATGTACAATAGAAGCACGTGCAATTAAGACGACTAGGTAGGCTCGCCTCGCTTGCTAATTAAAGCTGCAATGTCCTACCTACAAGTATTTACACAGGCATGCATGGTATTTAATTGTGTTCATGACTACGCTCGAAAACCCGCAGTGTGAAAGTCATGGTTAGCTACACAGGTATGTACGATGTGTTGTGGGGTGGCTTCTCGTGTGGCTTAAATGACAAGAGAGTGAGTATCTGCGTATCGTACGTCATGGATTTCCCTCGCATCATTCTCACCTCAACCAACGAACCCTACCATCCTGGTGACACCATCACCGGGAGACTGCTGCTGGACGTGGATTATCCCAAGAGCTTCAACAGATCGCCGTGATTTTTATTGGTGGCTGCTATGTCCGCCTAACTAGAGAAGGTTCGAACGCAAGGGGGGAGAGTGTGGTAGATCATTACTCCTCCTATGAGACCTTTGTGGACGTGGTAGCTCCTCTGTGGAACAGTCAGCAGAGTCCAGATGGAAAACTCCCTCCAGGTCAGTACAACTGGCCCTTCAGCTTTAACATCCCGCCAACAGCGCCATCTTCCTTCGAGGGAAGTGTTGGCGACATTCGCTACTCTCTCGAGGCGGGAAATATGGTCACTGACACTAAACTGGAGTATAGAGTGGAGCAAGTCATTGATGTGCAGCAGCTCGTGAAGATCACAGACCCACGTTGGCTTACACCAGTACATCAACAGGTGTGTGAAGATGAAGAGAGAGTCCGTTTTCTGTGCTGTACTTCCCGCTCTGACCCTGTCTCAATGACTGTAACTGTCCCCAAAACTGGGTTCTACCTTGGAGAGTCTTTCCAACTACATGCCTCTCTTGAGAATGGAACGCACAGCCGTTGCATTCAAATGACTGCATTGCTTGAAAAGGAAGTCTGTTACCACGCCGAGGGACGAAGGGATCGTGAAAGGGAAACCATCCTTCAAAGTTGAAAGTGATTGGATAGAACCCCAGGAATTTAGGAATTGGGATCCAACACTCACTATCGAGACAACAGAGCACATTTCTGTAATTACTACCTATATCACAGTGTGCTACACTCTGTATGTCGACTATAGATGGCCGATTAGGTACGACAAAAACGCAGTCTGCATTCCCCTGCAACTTGGCAATTGTCAAGACGAGGAAGAAACTGGTCCTACAGTCCAGTCTGAACCATCCCAGCAACCTGCAGCTACCCACCCCCCATCTCCCCAACCTCTCCCTCCACCTCCTGTCCCCCAATATCCACCTATTGCTCCCCAGTCTCCTCCTCCTGCTCCCCCACCTCCACCTCTTCCATTTGCAGAATACTCACCTCCCTTGGGTTCACAGCTAACAGACTGACATTAAAGTATGAAGCCATCTAAGATCAAAGCCAAAAGCAGTTTCTTATTATTCCACAGTCATTACTGCTTCCTTGTGTGCATTATATAGCAATGTATAATTGTGACATTTGTATTATCAAACTAAAGATGCATTGCATTAAACATTTATCAACCATCCTGCTGAGACTGTCACGGGGAGCCTGCTGCTGAATTTGAATGAGCCCTAGAACTACAAGTACAACCAGCTTGCCGTGTGAAGTATTGCGTGGTAGCTTGTACATCCACTCAACCCTAGCAACATCCTCGCTACAGCCTACTTACCTGTTCCCTATCAGGCATCCCTCGGTGTGTTTCTTGCAAGGATGCATACCAAAGGAACAACAAATAAACCAATTGGTGTCTCTTAGCTCCACAACTTTCGTTTCTACAGTTTACTACTATTTTCCCTGGTTATCTAGAGCGAGATGTGGGCAAGGGGGCACTTCTGAAATACAATGGTTTACAGCATAGCTTCAGTCACTAGCAGAAACACTTGTGTGTCCCCATAAATTTTTACTCTGCCGCAAAATTTTTACTGGTGAAAAACTTTGTATCCAAACCTGTTTATGTGAGTGTTTGGTGCATATCATTAGTGCTTCTATTGGTTTTCAGTACTTGGAGATGCTGTGGATTCAGACTAAGAACATGAAAGACAACGAGTGGAAGGTTAGCCATTGTACTGTCCCTGTAACCCACATGAAAAATACCCACGTACTTGTAAAACCTCAACATTTTTGCACATTTACTCACCCAAAAATGTGATGCTAGTACCACATGTACGTACAGGCACATACACAACTCACTAGAAACCTACACACAAAAACTTATACCAGTTTTTAAGTTTTGCACTCACATCCATGTACGTACTTGCATTTAGTTTCACTCTAATACAGTACGTACTAAGTAAGGCAACCAGCATCTACTCCAGTAGAGGCTGTTCTTCACCATTTTGTTGCCCCTCCACGAAATCCTCTGTCCTCTTGAGTCCAATCTTCCGTTGTCTCAGAATCTGCCGAAAATTGATTTTGAAATCGTAGGAACTGCACTTTTGCAGTATTTTCTTCAGCCCCAACCCTACCGCAAGAAGATGAGGTATTAGCAGTACAACTACACTGCTAAAGGAGATAACACGGGCGTCTAGGGCATTGTCCTGCCACCATAGGCCGACCTCCAGAGAGAGGATTCCCAGTAAGGTATAATGGAAACTGAGGGACAGATTCGTCAGTTCTGTTTTACAAGGTTTGATCCAACAGACCAGGAAAGAGCCAATGAACAACGAGACACTAGTGAGAAACATTCCACACCTGAAGAGCCCATTTACGCTGAGAACCGGTGCAGCGACTGAAAAAATCAGCGATGCCAGTATCAAAAGTGCTAGAACCATTCTATGGTCACGCGTCCCGTGTAGACCGTCTTTGAAGCCGCAGTTGAGAGTCTCTGCAAATATCTTCAGTGCAAGTTGCTTTCTCGAGCTTAGAGGGCGAACAAGTCTTCCGTAGAGTCTTGTGGGGTATATCAGAAGAAAAAGGGCCGGGCAGGCTACGAATATGAACAAAACCAGCAGAGTGGTGATGAGATAGGGGAGATGGTCCCAGCTGTACATTTTAATGCTGGGTTCTAAAAATAGGACTTCTTTTATTGATTTACCAGTGACGTCGGTCACGTGAGACGTCATAAGTATAGTGTAGCCCTGGCACATGTTTGAGAACATTGACAACATTGTGAATGTCGCAAAAGCGTGGACGACGGATGCCCTCGCATTGTATGCTCTGCTACTGAAGCTCTTGACGAGACCGTATCGAGCGTCGAGTTCGATGATTGAGTAAGTCAAAATGACTAGAAAAAGCGAGTAAAACGAAGTGACGAATCCCAGCAGTTGTATGTGGAGCCCGGTCACTCTGTCACTGATGCAAAATGGTGGAGTAATGAAACGAAAGAATTTGAGGCTGGATATTCCAGCCATCACCAGACTCATCTGTCCAGCTACTCTGAGCAACGGTGGAAGACTGGCGAACAGTGTGGTGTAGAGATGGTGCGAGTATTGAAAAGTGTTTACAACTGCTTGGCAGAACGTGATGTAACCAAGTTGCGGTCCCGTCAGTAAAGAAGGACGGCATATGAGGACGATAAAGAATAAGGTTGTGATGGGGAGTAGCTCTAGGAGTAGGTAGAGGCTCACAGCCATTGCAGTGGACATATGGGAGCAGTTGGTGCAGTGGAGATCAAGAGAATAAACGGCTGGGCCAAATCCCGTCTTACACTTTCCACAGAACAGACCTTCACGATTGTACGGATCACATTGACTGCTGTTGACCTGTGTAGGTTGTGGTGGTAGTCGTGTGTATATCCTGTTGGTCACGTGAGCAGCACGACCAAAGGGACACTCCCCAACTACCAAAGAACTGCTATTGTAGGGTCCTCTGTCATCGTAAGTCATGCAGTAGCCTGCACTGATGTCGACAGTCTTGTTGAAGTCGTCGCACTTCAAGCCTCCACTTAATGTAGCCCCACATACACACACGTCACCTTTGGCTATATACCACGTCGGGCACTCAGAGTTAGCCACATCCAGCAGTAAGAACACTGCCACCACCGACAACACTGTTAAACCCCAGAATTCCATTAGTAATGCTCCAAGAAGTTGAACACTGCGCCGAGAAAGAAACACAATGAAGGAAACAAAGGTGTAGGGACGGTTTGTGCAGTTTCCTCTCTTTACATTCGATCGTCTTGGAGTTGACAGTTTTTCCTTTTTATGCTCGCGTTCTTCACTAATGTACACCTACACATGCGTTCTTCACTCGTGATACATAACACGTGAAGTCCTATTGAAGCTCTATATGGCGTCATTGTTTCTATCTCATGTGTTTTCTTGTGTCTTTCTCTGTATAGCGTGAGCTTTGTTTGTTTACACGAGTGCACATCTTTCACTGTTGTCATTCTCTGGATGGTATCCGTACCAAATGTGCTCATGCCACACGTATGCAACCACCGTCACGTCATATGGAATCACATGAAAAGTATATTTATAGCATACTAGCCACAGAGAATGGAAAAGAAAGAAAAACCAGAAGTCACCCTCCACCCCCCACCCTCCACCCAAGTACATACACAGACACAAACAACAGTTGCACATGTACATTGTATGCTGCAACAACTGTACACATGTAATATGGCATCACATACACATACAATCAGTACACAGTCACGTGACGTCACATGTATGTGGTTGCTTTTTGTATACAACTACTGAACCTAGTCATGTGACGTGTCACACCTCTGCTCTCTCTACTCAGGAACACATTCTATTGAGACCGTACACTCACTTTGACTCCGAGATTGGCGGAGCTTACTCGGTGAGGCTTACAACTTTCTTCTCTTCCATCCCTCACCTTCGCGCTCCCTTCTTCCTACTTTCTTGTTATCTTACTGCCTTCTCTCCATCAAAACCTCTCATGCACTCCTTTGTCTGATCGTTGGTCGTGTTTTGCCACCTGAATCACTAGTCTTTTGTCCTGATACCTTCAATATTTCTATTTGCCTTGGTCTCTCTCTCTCTCTTCTCCCTTCCTTTCCACCTTGCTCCCTCCCCCGTCCTCCTCAGCACACTCTGCCCACACTGAATGTTCCCAACCACACGGAGGAGTCACTCTATCCGTTGCCTCACTCAGTGTTCAGAGTCTACGAGACTTCAGACCTCCAGTATGCTCCTCCTGTAAGTCTCTCTCTCTCTCTCTCTCAAACATCTAACAAGCTGGTTTTTAGAACACAGTCGCATGCAATATTAACTACAGTGGAACCTCCGAACAAGGGACACTATGGGGCCAACGATTTTGTCCCTTGTAGAGAGGTCGTCCATATCTCGGAGGTCAAATAGTACACTAAAGTGGGGTTAAACAAGTGTCCTTTGTAGAGAGGTCGCAATCTCCTTTATCAGAGGTTCCACTGTAAATCCAACTCCCCTTAAAAAAGTCCTCACTTGCTGCAATTTACTGTATAACTGGCAGCACATCCCTCTTCATTGACACACACTAGGCCTCACGTATTGTATAATCAATGGGTATCTGTGTCTGTAGGGCTATATCCTGCCTCCATTTGACTCCATGGACCGTTACCTAGCAGAGGAGACCGTCAGATGTATCGTACAGTCACACCACACCAACAGGAAGGAATGGTGAAATTCATAATTATGACTCTCAAATTATATTATGCACAAGACTTCAAGAAAGATATCACCCATGATATTATGCTTGTTCACAAGACTTCAAGAAAGATATCACCCATGATATTATGCTTGTTCACAAGACTTCAAGAAAGATATCACCCACGATATTGTGCATGTGTGAAATGGACACACCAAATAATGTGTTGCATTTGTTTAGAATCAGAGCTCCAATTGCATGGCCCAATTTGTTTTAACAGTCCACGAAGGGTTTCCTTGTGCGATTTACATCAGTGTATGTGATGTAGCTACCATTGTGTGTATAATATAGTGTGAGTGCTCTGCTGGTGTTTGGAAAGGGAGTTGATCGAATCAGACTTCCTGCCGAATATGTCATCACTGAGGTGAGCTACAGCATGAAGGAGATAGAGGGAGTAGGGAGGGAGGGAGGGTTTTTTGTATGCCCTGTATGTCGTCATCGTTTCTATCTCATGTGTTTTCTTGTGTCTTTCTCTGTATAGCGTGAGCTTTGTTTGTTTGAAAAAGAGCAGTTGCATTGCACACCACGCATACAAAGAGCTGCTTAAGAAAGTCGAAACATGAAGACTTAAGATGTATGGGGCTATGATAGAGGCTTTTGTTCATCTTCATATTCAACGGGTGTATAGGTTTGTAGAGGCATAGGACTCGTTATGTTGAATTCAAATAATAGGCAAAGAGTTGAGGTGTGTCTGTGTGTGCAGGTGCTGTTTGAACTACTGTTCAAGTTGCCATCTCCCCCACAAGTCCCAGTCTGCTATGGCTCTCTCCTCATTGAGCTGTGCAAGGCCGACCCTGCCACCTTCCCTCAGATTGTATCCTCACATCACTTACTGCATGTCTCAACAACTTGGTAACGAGGTAGAAAGGCAAGGCAAGGCAAACAAGTCAACTACACCCAGGACAGCTCTTGTGGGATTCGAACCCACGACACTCTGCAGTCTAGGCGAGCGCTCTACCAACTGAGCTACCAGGGCAACTCAGCTGCTAGGGGTTCGAATCAACACAACACAACACAAGGCTAACCTCGAAGCACTGTGCTATGGCACAGTATACTCTCACTCAGTATGTAGGAGCATGTCCTTCAGAGTAATAGATTGTGAATTACAGTATGAAAATGGGCCAGGTCTCACGGACATGTATTGCAGTAAATGGTTTTCCTTGACGGCAGACTCAGCTGACACAGACTACCGACTTGCTCTACAACAGACTGGACAAGATGAACACCGTCTGTGTTGGCAGGTACGTACTGCACAGCGGGTTTATTTTGCTGAGAAATTTCCTCTCTCTCCCTCTCTCTCTCTCCCTCTGTTCCCCAGGTTCTCCCAGTGGTTTGCCTATCATCTCAGCAACTTCAAGTACCAGTGGGACTGGTCGTCATGGTAATACCACGACACACTCGAGGCAAACTGTCCACCATAAAAATAAGTTTTCTGCACAGAAAATTTCGCATGCCACCTGTAAAAATGGTCCCCACCCTCTCAAAGAACCTTCCTACGTATTACAGACGGCTCTCAAACCATGAATTTTCTCCCTTCTACCATTAATACAAGTATCTTCTCTCCCCATATAATACCTCCACGGGTCTTTCACACTTCACTGGGTGCAGGTCCAACTGTCTGAGTGGTCCTCCCGATGGTCCCGGCATTCAGTTCATCACCAGAGTCTTTGAGAAGTGTGCCAGGTATTTGCTTAATTGACCACATATCTCGGATTCTTGTTGACTACAAAGCTACAGTAGCACAATCTTTACACCATGGTATAAAAGTTTGAACTCCGTGCAATTTTCGCATAAATCATACGTTGTTTCGCTGCCGCCCACATGTTCCAGATTGGGATGTTACGATGTATTTAGTGAGCTGATCCAACCTCCCTTCTCCACTCTCCTGCCTCCTGAACCTCTCCCTGTCTTCAAGTATACTCTGGAGGAAGATGAATTCGGTACACCCTCTACTTTGCAAGTCGCAAGAGTTTGACATTATGGGAATGCATACGTGTGCATGGGTGTATGTGCCTTTGCCTTTCAGTCTCATAGTTATCACATGCACCAGAAAACACAGTATCTTTGTGGTTTCTCCGCTCTCTATACCACTATACTCTGTTGTTATTGACATACACAGGTGACGTCATAACATCTCGTCATAATCTTTCGTGCATGCTGTATTAGTGTGCAATGCACATACTATTCAGAAAGGAGCGTTGGTCCAATACACCCAAATCTTCATCCACTTTCTCTCCCTCTGTCCCTCCAGTCACCCCACTCCCAGAGTGCACCGTGGCAACTCAGCTGCTGGAGGCCATCAAAGAGAAGAAAGAGAAGAAGACATTTGAGCATCTGACCTCAATCCTTGACACTCTATCTTCTGTCCAGCCGGAGCTGGAAAATGACAGAGACAGTATGTTGTCCACCACTACAACTGTATAGCCAATGTGTCAAGAAAGAGATAGCGAGGCAAAGGCAACGCAAACAAGTCAACCAATGCATGCATTCGTAATGTGTACACAGCATCAGCTACCTTGCAGTACATAGCAGAGGAAGTAGATAGTCAGCTATGTCTGTATTCCTTCGTAACTCTGTAAAACGAGGTAAATAAAACAACCGATATCCATGAGCAATTTTGTATTCTTTCCGTTTTGAGTATTGTTTCCTCTTTCTCTCCTTCCCCTACCTCTGCCCCTCCCTACCTCTTTCCTCTCGTACAGAGTTGTGTGATGCGAAGGTATCTCTGCTGACTCACTGTGTCCTTCACGTCAGCTCTAAGACCATCAGTCACAGCTTCATGGCTCTGCACAAGTCAGTACCAACACACAACACCCAGCATGCCATCAGTGTGGTGTCCAGCATGACGTGGTCTAGAGAATATACTTACGTTTCTCAAAGTGTCGTTGTATTATCTTTGAAGTTATTGTAGCTATGTGTACTACTTTCCTCAACCATCTTACGCAGTATAAGGACTTTATTATGGTTCAGCATCGGTGATTCTATTTTGCTTAAACTATAGCGAATTTAAAACCTCCATGTTTATTGCATAGTGATGGGTATGCATGTAATTGTGCCTCCTGAACTGCTGTACATTGTACATAGGTTCCGTCCTCTCTTCTTGGAGCTGGCAAAGACAGACGAGACCAAACTGGCAGTTCTCAAAGCTCTCGCAGAATTCTACACCAACAACCCACAGGTACACACATACATACGTAATTATGTAATTTTTGTTCGTGTAGTAAATCCATAATGTCTGGTAAAAGAACCTTGGCATATTACAATTGAAATGGTAATTTTGTCATTGGCCTTGCTAAATGCTATTGTCTATCATTCATTTTTTGCCTGCACACACACACACACGTGTGTCACCCCAAGGTGCATGCCATCATTCTGGACAAACTCATACGCAGTCAGGTTGTGGATGCCATGGTAGTTGTCAACTGGCTGTTCCTCCCCACCACTGTCCAGGACTTCCACAAGTAAGCTAGCTTTTGGCCGTAAAGCAAGTGAATTGGCTGTACACGTAACATCTCCCTTACAGACAGTATGTTTGGGACATTCTGGAGTCAACGGTCCAAAAGACTAACGCTGCCTACCACTCGGCCACCAAGGAACTGGCTGAGACCAAAGACAAACTGACTAAGGTACTGGACAATGTGCCACTCTTTTGAATCTTCTGTGCAAAATAACACACTACATATTATGGCTGGCAACCACCGATGAAAGTTTTTAGAATGCTGTTTATGAGATATATAAGCATGTAAGCACTGGCACATGAGTAATGTAAGTGCATAACTGCTGGCATGGACAACTTTATTCACGGATATAAGATTGTGAGTGGTGGTGTGTATATACAGGTGTCCCATCTGGATGAGGTGGCCATGGGTAGTGAGGAGAGACAGGAACTGGAGGCCAAGATTGATGAACTGGAGGACAGGGTGAGTGATTCATACACCACTCAATGTGCTTGCAAAAACACTAGTTGGCAAGTGAAGTGAGCTTACCTAGAGCCGTCTGAATGCAGGATTTCTATACTACATTATAGGGCACTGCACATATATACCCTAATGTTATTTGCGAAAAATTGAATGTCGTTATGAATACGTGCGAAATAAATTGAATTCACGATTGGTGTTGCTTCTAGTTTTGTTCACCAAACTATAAGTGAAGCATCACATCCTCCGTCTGTGGTGTATTATCTGTTAATGCAAATGAGCCTATTATGTTTATTGTTTCTTCAACATTGGCCCACTGTGCCTTAAATTGCCCACTCCCACCTCTTTCTCTCCCTCGTCCCTCCTCGTGTGAAGGTGGATGAGAGTGAGAAGATGCAGAAGGATGTGTACCTGAGTCTGTGCCAGAGGTTCATCTCTCTACTGGGAGACCACCTGGCCCGCTGTGACCAGCAGGGCTCAGACTATGAGTCCCCGTGGTTCCAGTCAACTCTCGACAACTTCAGACAACTACTAATCAAGGTGTGTGTGTGTGAGAGACTCACTCACTGGGAATAAATATAGCGGATATCCTCCAACTATCATATTATACTGTCAGTACATATATCGTCATTGGACACAGGACTTTTTCCTATTTTCTGTTGAAGAACATGTACATCTCCTTAGATTCACCGGAATTGGGAGTGTGTATAGTTAACACCTACAGCTTTCGTTCCTGGTTCCTATATACCCATATTTCCATTACACTTTCCTGCTGATTTAAGTAGATCCCCATGGCGTCAAAAGGGTTTTAACTCTTCCTCCTCTGTCCCCTCCCACTACAGAACTACACACAGCTGGGTCAGTACACCACCCTACTAGAGAGCCTTGCCTTCACTCCTAACGTCGACTACAGAGTTCTGGAAATATTCCAACAGTTTCAGGCTGTACTCTGACCTCTAGACAATGTTGCCACTCCCACCACTCAATTTCTCTTTCCTACACCACCACACTCAGAACTTTTTGACACTCTCTGAGAACTTGCTTTTATACACAAACAAACACTTATGTACGCACATAGATATGTAACATGTTGACATGACAGTATGATGATGCAATATTAACGGTAACCAAGTCCTGTACATCATGTGCTGAAGTCTATTATATACACATACTGTGATCAATGCTCATCATCCCCACCTATACAGGCACAATACAGACACTATGTAATCAGAGTTTTCTGGGAAACAAATTTCGTACAAACCTCAGTAATATGGCTATATAATATAATACTAGGCGTTTATATGTTATACATCAATTTCTGCTTTTAAGGAGATACATATGGCGTCCCAAAGGGTTTTAACAAAAGCTGGGGAAGCCTTTTTTGCCCTAAAATGGTAGGTGGTGGTTGGCTTACCACTGAAGTCACTGTGTGGTGACAGTGGGACCAGAAATGAGTCGTTCTCACCTGTAAATATAGGGCAATGACATCATGACACAGGAAACACGGGAAGAGTTGTGCAACTCACCAAATAAACCATTTCCACTGGAGCTGAGTCGGTGCTTCTCAACCACCCCTGGAGAAAATAATATAGCTAAAGTGCCCTGAAATGTACGCAAAGCAGTCCCATCTATCTATCTATCTAGCTATATACCTTATGGCTGGTATGCTATAAACTATAATTTCATGTATGAGTGACATTGAGTGTTCACACGTAGACACAGGCTTTCCAGTCCTCGTGCCAAAATGTGAATACACAAGTAAACACGAGGACACTTGAAACATAGTGCAGCAGTGCACTGTGGTAACATACATTTCAGTGACTGGTTGAGTGGTGAAGATGGAGTAGAATGGCTGGTAGAGTGACTTCCTGATATTTCCAGTGGCCTCCACTCTCTATCATCATCATCGTCATTAGCAGGAAGATGAGCAGGAAGATGAGGGGAGGGAAGAGGTAGATTAGAAGAGGATGGAACGTGAGAAGAAGGAATTGGAAGATGAGTTGGTGGAGAAGGAAGATAGGGATGAGAAGGAGAGGGAAGATGAGAATGAGGAGGGAGAGAAGGAGAGGGAAGATGAGAATGAGGAGGGAGAGAAGGAGAATGAAGATGAGAATGAGGAGGGAGAGAAGGAGAGGGAAGATGAGAATGGGGAGGGAGAGAAGGAGAGGGAAGATGAGAATGGGGAGGGAGAGAAGGAGAGGGAAGATGAGAATGGGGAGGGAGAGAAGGAGAGGGAAGATGAGAATGAGGGAGGGAGAGAAGGAGAGGGAAGATGAGAACGAGGAGGGAGAGAAGGAGAATGAAGATGAGAATGAGGAGGGAGAGAAGGAGAGGAAAAGTCTATCAACTGAGCTCCACTGCTGACAGGAGAGCTTGTCTGCCATGTGCTGGTAAGACAAGAGGCAGAGACCAACGAAGACTCATGGGGTGAGGATTGTATCTGAGCTCCGAGTTGGATTCCAATGGGTTTCAGTTCAGAGTGATGTTCCACTACTGACTTGTTCCCACCTTCAGCTAGCTCACCAGAGGACTCAAGTAGAGAAGATTTGCACACTTCTTGCAGGGAGCCAACATGAGCTGGGCCAGTTGAACCTTGATCTGGGCCAATCACAATGTGAGCTGGGCCCGTTGAACCTTGACCTGGGCTTTTCCCAACGAGAGATTGGCCAGTTGAACCTTGACCTGTCACAGGAGAGCTGAAAGTCATCAGATCAGAAGAGGGTCCAGCCAGAGAGAAGGTAGAAGGAGAGACGAGAATGTGGGTCGAGGATGATAGCAAGGGAAGGACGGACGGTGATACGTTGATCAAAGGCGACATATCTTTGGTCGGTTGATGTGGTGTACGGGTCACATTGCTGGATGGAGTGAGAGAGGTATTGTGATGTGGAGTAACTGTGACATTGTGATGTGGAGTAACTGTCACATTGTGATGTGGAGTAACTGTCACATTGTGATGTGGAGTAACTGTGACATTGTGGAGAGGTGAGTTTGATGACATAAAGATGTTTGGAGAAGATTTTGACAGCCACGGTGATGTGAAACTGTGCGAATGTGACTTTGGTGATGTGTGTGAAGGTGACTTTGGTGATGTGTGTGAAGGTGACTTGGGTATTGTGTGTGAAGGTGACCTTGGTGATGTGTGTAAAGGTGACTTTGGTGATGTGTGTGAAGGTGACACTTGGTGTAGTGTGTGTGAAGTGACTCTGGGATGTGTGAGGTGACTTGGGTCGTGTGATGAGAGGTGACTTGGTGTGGTGGGTGATAGGTGTCTTTGGGATGTGTGTGAAGGTGACTGGGTATTGTAGTGTAGGTGTACCTTGGTGATGTGTGTAGAGGCTGACTTTGGTGAAGGCTGCTGGATGTGCTACGACGAGAGGCGTGTGAGGAGATGGTTGATGGTGAAGATAGAAAGGATGCCTTGTGGATTGTGACAGGGGT